TTGGAAAATCTTAGGACACAGATAATAAAGAGGCTACATGCTTCTAGAGAGAGAAAAAAATCTAGCATCCTTAACAAGGTGAGACTGGCATAAGCTGCACTGGATAATAAATTATAAGAATAGTATTTTTAGCATTTTGAAGGAAGATGACTTTCAACATAGAATTCTATACCCATTTGGGGCCAACAGGTGGCATGGTGGTTAAGGTGCTGGACACTCCCACATGGTTGACCACGGTTCGGGTCTCGGAACCTGGTGGTTTGCTTTCTCACTTTCCCTGGTTCACGTACCTAGTGGCTTGCTTTCTCACTTTCCCTCTCTCTTTTTGTGTCTCTCTCTGGTCAAATTAAAATAAGTGAATGAATGAATAAAATTAAATGAATACTTTTTTAAAAATTTTGTTAAAAGAAAGACTTTTATACCCATTCAAACTATCAACTAACTATGACATTCAGAGATTTAGGACATTTACCTCTCACAGACCAGTTCTTAGATAGTGCTCCAGTGAAATGAATGTCAAGAGATCCCAGGAGCCTAATACCCAGAGAATAATAAAGGGGAGCCTCAGAATATCAAGCTGAAAGGAGAGTCAGTGTCTTGGAGAAGGAAGACTCAGAATTCCAGACAGATATTTTCAAGGAGGGAAAAGGGGAACTTTGGAGAAACTTGATAGCATCCTTGGATATTTGAAATATCCTAAAGAGGCATCAACCTTGGGGACCACCAGGTGGCATGGTGGTTGGGGTGGCTGGATCCCACATGATCAACTGTGTGGTTGGAGCCTGGTCCCAGAGGCTTGAAAGACATGCCAGGCACATGTGTGCATAAGCCTCAAAAGCCACATTCCTGAAAGGAAAAATGGAGGAGAGGGATTGCTATGTGGCCATCTCCCATGGGAGGAGGAGGGGGGATACTTTCTCCCTCTCTCTCCTTTTCCTCTCCCTCTCCCATGAGTACATGCACCCTCTAGTAAGTTTAAAAAAAAGAGAGAGCAAAACATCAATGTAAAGGCAAAGAGAAAAGAGGGCCAGCTTCATGGTGTAGTGATAACATATTTCTCAAAAGAAGCTGGATCCCACATGGCAACTGCAGTTTGAATCCCTGGCCTACTTAGCCTGAAACCACTGGGCGTGCACACAAGTTCCCAGGATATGACAGGCTGAAAGACTGGAGAGAGGAATCATGGTATGACCAGACCCCAGGAAAGGTACTCATTTCTGTCTCTCTTCACATCTTTCTCTCTCTCTCATGTATGCCTTCTATTGTGAAAGCTGGAAAAGAAAGAAAGGAAGGAAGGAAGGAAGGAAGGAAGGAAGGAAAGAAAGGGAGAGAGAGAAAGAAAGAAGGAAGGAAAAAGAAAAAGAGAGAAAGGCAATTATAAACCCCAGGAGTTGGAGGAGAGAACACAAAAAGCTGAACAAGAGAAGCATGCCTGCCCTCATAGTATGTACCATTTAACAGCTGTGCAGAGAGCAATGTTTATACAGTAATGTGAGCACTAATCATTGATTTTAAATTCAGAAACAATATACAGATGAAGGGAGGACTTATGGCCAACAGGACAGATTTATTATTATTATTTTAGTTTTGCTGTAGAGCACATGTACCCACCAGAGACAGAGAGAAATCGGCCCCTAGAGGGGATAGCCATGCTGCAAGCTGTTCTCCTCCATTCTCCTCTGAGGATTTTGAGCTTACATGCACACATATCCAGTATGCTTCTCAAGCCGCCAGGTCCAGTACTTGAACCACAGAGTTGACCATGTGCGATTCAGCTGCCTTAACTTCCACACTACCTGCTGGCCCCTGGACAGTGTATTTTAACCTTGACAATGTAAAAGTACAGCTGATGGTATGAAGGTGAGGCTGGGGAGAAGAGCTCAGGGTAGGATGCAAATAGCCTTATCTTAAAAAGTGTGTACACAACAATAAAAGAGGAAAAGAAAGTAAAAAAAGAAAAAGAAAAGTATGGACACAAAAGATAATATCCTAATTGATGGGACTGAGAAATAAAGGTGTAAGGATATTATTAATATTTTAAACTTACGGAAGTATCCAGCAGAGAAACTGAAGTTGATGTGACTGTTTCGGTAAGAAAGGATGATCGTCCAGGGTGATACCACTGAGCTATACTCTTTTTTGTTAAGAATTATTTTTTATTTAACTTTATTTATTATTATTATTTTCCAGTTTGAACAGAGAGAGACAGAGAGGGAGAGAGGGAAAGTGAGAAAGCAAGTCACCAGGTCCGGAACTCGAACCGTGGTCGGCCATGTGGGAGTCCAGCACCTTTAACTACCACGCCACCTGCCGGCCCCACTGAGCTATACACTTAAATATTAAAAAAGCAAATGATAATATTTTAAATTGATGAAACAAGAAATAAGTATACTGTTTAGAGACCAGAAGAAAAAGTACTATGAGCAATTAAATAGTTTTTAAATGATTTCTTCTAAAGGATAGGGCTAAGAGAAGTCTTTTGTCTTCTTCTACTTATTTATTTACTTAAGATTTTGTTTTTTTTTTTCCATGAATGAGAGGAACAGGACCTCCAACAAGGTCCTGATGCACGATCCACCCCCTGCTTCAGCCAACCCTGGAGCATGTGCTCTGCCTACTCAGAGGCCTGTGGACGTGACTGGGAACTTGCCCATGTGGAATAGCATCACAAAGCATTGCATTTTATTTCTGTGTCACCCATCTGACCCCCTCTTCCTTTTTAAGTCATTAGAGAAAAAAATAACGATGACACACACACATCAAGACAAAGAAAGAATGAAAGGAAGAAATAGAAAGATCTTGAGGGATCATAATACAGTCTGCTCTGAAAATGCCTAGAGGGCTACAACTGCTTCGACCTGGGACCAACCAGACTAGACTCTATAACTATATAAATACATGTATATATTGGGTCGCCTGAAAAGCCATGGCGTTTTTTTTTTTGGTAGAGGTTTTTGCCTTAGAGTACGCTAGGGGGAGGAGGGAGACAGACACAGTGAGAGGGAAAGTGAGAAATCCCCCTCCCAGTGTGGGAGAATGGCCATGCCGCAGTCCCTTCTCTGTTCTCCTTCTGGGACCTTGGACGCACACGCACATGCACATGGGCCCAGCATGAGTTTCAAGCCACTGGGTCCGAGACTCGAGCCATGATCAGCCATGTGGGAGTCCAGTGATGTAACTGCTACGCCATCTGCTGGCCCAGTCATGGCACATTTTTACACAGAAAACTATGCCATGGCTTTTCCAACGACCCAATATATGCAGTCGCTTCAAAAATTCCATAGAAAATTACAATTAGAGTATGAGTTTCTATTGGTGCAAAAATAAATAAATAAAAAAAAGAAATCCATGCATCGTTATTTCATAATATATATTTTTCCATGAATTCCTTAATGACCCCTCATGTATGTGTGTGCATTTGCATATATACACATATAACACTAACGTTTTAGTTTTACTTTGTTTTCATTTTTTGTTTAAAAAAATGTCAAACTTTCAGAAAAGTTACAAAAATTAAAAATGGTAGAAAGAACATTTACCACAGTAAATTTCTTTTTCTCTCTCTTTTTTTTTTTTTTGGAGAGGTTTTCGCTGTAGGGCACGTGCGCTCACCAGACAGAGAGAGAGAGAGACATAGAGACAGAAA